ATTCTGGAACTATTTACATTGTGTTCACTGTGAGTGCGCTATTCTGATGTGTATTCTGGAACTATTTCAAAGTCTATTGTTACTCTTGATAATTGATGCTAATTGATCTGCTACATTGTCATCGATCATTATAGAAAAATCCTAATAGATAAAAATGATATATAGATAAAGCCATGAAACTGCGAGAGCTATGGTAAAATCTAGCTGAGACCTTCTGGAGCATCATACCACGTGCCAGGTTTGTACACTGCAGCATCATGTGGCCGGTGTGTAAAGTGGAACATATCACGTGCCAGGTTTGTACACTGCCACATGCTCTAAAGGATCACATCCGTGCTTCATGACTTTTTCAGTAACACATTGTTCTGTGAGAGAGACATTCTTCAGTAAGATTCACATGTCTATCACATGGTCCTCCAAATATTCCCTTTAATATTAACATAAAAAACAGACACTGCTGTAGCCTGTAGAAGCTCTGTCTACGTGCCATCTTGTGCACTGGCTGTAGCCTGTAGAAGCTCTACCCATGTATCATGTTGTAAACTTGTGTTTTGCGAGTGAACATTCCATAGTAACTTAGGGCATTTACTAATGTGACACCTTTGTTAGTATCATGATTCTTATATATAAGCTAAACATTATTGAGCAAACTTTAGGGAAATTAAAGTTTATGGCAGAAGGCTTTGGTATATAATCAAAACAGCTGATTATTACGAAAAATGGACACTTGCATTTAGGTGATTTTTAAAATCCATACTTTAAATCAAATTTCAACTCAACAGAGTAAAGAAATTTAAAACAAGCACAAAACTTTAGTACTGAATATACTTATTTTATAGACTTTCCTAGATGTGTGTGTGAGAGAGAGAATATGTGTGAAAATGCATACATACACATACTGAATCCTATGACAAAAAGGAAACTCGTAGGCAACACGCAACAATGATGCCGTAGCATAAACATCTCATTCTCAAAAAGCAATACATTTATGCTTAATGAACGAGTTTTGTTTGTTTTTGTCTATTTTTTTAAAAAAAAAATCCTTTCTCTGTGGTGCAAAGCAATGAAAACATAGCTACTTTTGTCCCCAGACCAAGCTGGGAAATCTACTGTGGCAGAAGCCGGTTTAGTCCTTCACGCTCAGGAGAAACAAGGCTGCGCTCCTCCTGGAGCGGGTTCATGTGCACCTTTCTCTCTGCACTTCTGACACATCACATGCACTTCGGTGCATTAAATTCCTAGGAATCAAAAGCTTGATCCTCAGTTCTTTATCCATATATATTCTTACTATGAGAAATTACAGAGCTGAAACGTAATGGACTGCAGTTATCTGCTAACGCCTGAATTTGTCCTTTGGAAACACTCGATTTTCCTCTTCGGCTGTGACTCTAGGTTACACAGTCTGATGAGCGACGTTCAGTATCAGCTACTTTTCCACTTGGGTTTCACTACCACTGTTTAAGATGTTTATCTCTGCTCGTAGTTATGGGTCTAAGACGATGTTATTAGCAACCTAGACACAATCAATCACGTGTTTTAAATGTCTATCAGGAAAGTCTCCCCTGCCGGGGACAACCATGCTTTGCACACCTGGATCATTGCCGGAGACGCCACAGTGACCTGTCCAAGTGCTGTGGGAGACCAGCGGGAGAGAGAACAAGTGACACAGGCTTTAAGGGCAACAAAGTTATGCACCATGAATACACTGTAGCAAATAGTTTATATCTGAGAATCTTTACAGCTTACATTTCCATTCCATTATTACAAGTGGTGAAAAACAAGAGCTGCAAGTAGCATGCAGATTACAGTCGTCTCCCACCTCGCCCACAGCACCCCACCTTCCAGGGCCACCTCCCAATTTCTGCAGGAACTGCCTGCAAAGCTGAAACTGATTAGAAAAATTATAGTTTACAATATCTCTTCCTCATTTTATGAGAAGCCAAATAGCCAACCATCAAAAGTAAAAATAAATTGAATCGTCAGTCCATCAGTTATTGTTACTAGGTTCACTTCATTTGCAGGTGTCCAAAATATAATATGAATAATTCTTTATCTTCAAATTCATCTGTTCTTAAAAGCTACTTAAAACTTTGGTTGTTTTCCTGTAATACAGAAGAAAGATAATTTATCAATTAGACTAACTAAATACAGTTTTTACAAATTAGCTTATCAACCAAATACTATGAATCTACTTCCATGTAAATGCATGTTACTATTGAAACTTTTAAAGAAATGAGCTATCGAATACATTTGTTTCAGTAAACCTATGTAATCCATTTTTAAATATAATGAATTGTATTCTAAATCTGTAATGTTTCTGTGGTACCTAGTTTTATAAATGTTGCTAATGCATAAAACAAAAGTATATAATTCTAATGTATATTTATCCAAAATAAGCTTGTCAGGCTTTTATTAACAAATTAAAGTGTTAATGAATCATTTAAGCCTGGAAATAAAAAGTGGTTGTGTTTTACATAGAACTGAAATTTATATTTATTCTTACAAAGAAATTCTTCAAACGGGGAGAAAATTCAAGTATTTAATACTTTTACATCAAATATTTCTTTCTTAAAACTTATTAAAATTTACTTCCTGATTTAATTTGAAAAAGAAACAGCTACCAAGCTAGTGAGGTGGCCAAGTGAGTACACGGGCTGCCGCTAACCTTAACGACCTGGTGACCCCTGGGTCCTCCGTGGTGGGAGAACAGTGACTCCTGCAGAGTTACTGTGACTTCTGAACATATGCAGTGTCGGGCACGTGCGCGCGCGCGCGCACACACACACCAGCCAAAGTAAAAACCTAATAAAGGTGTGTGACTGATGAAGGCAACTAAGTTATTAGGAAGCTTCAATTGTGGAGTGTATTTATAAACAATTTTAACTTATGGGCAAGGAAATATATTTTATTTATAATGTATGTGTGCGCCAACTGAAGCACAGATACATGCATGGAGGCCAAGTGGGGATGTCACATTTCTTGCTCTATGACTTTCACATACCCTCTTGAGATAGGGTGTATCATTGAACTTGGAACTCAGATGACAGTCAGAAAGCCATAGTGACCTCCTGTTTCCATTAGGTACCCACAACCAACTTTTTATGTGGATTCTGGGGATTCAAACTCAGGTCCTTATAACCTGTGTGCCAAGTGCTTCTGCCCAGTGAAACATTATCCCAGCCCCATGACTGTGAAAATTGTATAGATTTTTAAGACGTAAAATTCCAAAAAGAGGAAAAGGAGATTGTATTCTATACCCATAGTGGAGCTTTGCTCAGCAAACTTAGAGTGCTGAGTCTCATCTTAAAATTAGAAGATATCTGAAGGAAATTAAAATGATACAAATTAGAAAGTAAGAAGTCAATGGATCGCTATCTGAAGATGACATGATAGTGTACATAAGTGATCCCAAAAACTCTACCAGGGAACTCCTACAGCTGATAAACACTTTTCGTGAATGGGTTGGATACAAATTTTCTTACAAAATCAGTAGCCCTCCTATATACCAATGACAAAAGGCTGAGAAAAATCAGAGAAACACCACCCTTCACAAAAGCCACAAATAATAAACTACCTTGGGGTAGCTCTACCCATGGAAGTGAAAGGCTTGTATGACAAAAACTTAAAGTCTTTGATGAAAGAAATTGAAAATATCAGATCTTCCATGTTCATGGATCAGTAGGATTAACATGGTAAAAATGACCATCTTACCAAAAGCAACCTACAGATTCAATACAAACCCAATTAAAATTTCAACACAATTCTTTACAGACCTTGGAAGGACAATACTTATCTTAATATGGAAAAAAAACCCAAGATAGCTAAAAAAAAATCCTGTACAATAATAGAACTTACAGAGGTATCACCAGCCCTGATTGATTGCAAGTTATACTACAGAGCTTTAGTAATAAAAAACCACATGGCATTGGCATAAAATATTCAAAAACAACCCAGACAAAAGTCTATACACCCAAGATACTTTTTATAAAGAAGCCATAAATACAAAATGGGAAAAAAAACATCTTCAACAAATGGTGCTGTCTAACTGGATGCCAGCACATAGAACAATGAAACTAGATCCTTATCTATCACCCTGCATAAATTTGAAGTCCAAGTAGATCAAAGACCTCAACATAAAACCAGATACACTGAACCTAATAAAAGAGAAAGTGGGAACAGCCCTGAATGTGCACAGGAGACAACTTCCTGAACATAACACCAACCGTGCAGGCACTAAGACCGACAATCATGAAACTGAAAAGCTCCGGTAAGGCAACGAACAACAACCGGACAAAATGGCAGCCTATACAGTGGGAAAGTATTCCAGCAACCGCACATCTGACAGAAGCTAATATCCAAAATACATAAAGAACTCAGGAAACTAGACATCCTGACTAGACTAAAAAGTAGGGTGCAGATCTAAATAAAGAATTCTCAACAGAAGTATCTCAAATGGCTGAGAAATGCATTTTTACAAAGCGCTCAACATCCTTATCCATCAGGAAAATGCAAATCAAAACCACACTGAGATTCCATCTTACACCAGTCAGAAAGACTAAGATCAAAAGCACAAGTGACAGCTCATACTGGTGAAGATGTGGTTTAAGGGGAACACTCCTCCATTGCTGGTGGGAGTACAGACTTGTAAAACCACTATGGAAATCAATTTGGTGGTACCTAAGAAAATTGAGAATCCATCCACCTCAAGACCCAGATATCCATACACCAAAAGGACACTCCATCCTCCCAGGACACTTGCCTGTGTTCCAGTGGGCCAGCTGAGGGGGGTGTCCGACTCTTTTACCTGCACATGGGATCCTTCTCTTCCTATTTAGTTGCCTCATCCAGTCTTGATCTGAGGGTTTGTACCTAATCTTATTGTAAATTTTTATGCCATGTTTGGTTGGTATCCCTGGGAGCCTGCTCTATTTTTTGTAAGGGAAGTGGAGGAGGGGAAGAGTGTGCTGGGGTCTATCAGGAGTGGGTGGAGGGAAACTGTAGGTGGGTTGTAATGTATGGAGGAAAAAATTTTAAAAAATGAAAAAAGAAATACTTTTACCCAAATAAAATAGTGGTTTGAGAATAAACAAAAAAAAGTCAAGTAGAGACCAAAAAGAACAGAAAAAGGTGAATGCAAAAATGACTGATTGGAAGGCACATTGCTTGTATTTTTATGTTATCTCATCCTACCCACACAGAAGTGCTCATCTTCAATGCAAAACTGGGGTTCAAGGTAAGTTTAGTGCCCAAGTTTGAACTAGCAATATACACAGAGAAGCAATTTAAGTGTGCCTATCGCAGGAGTAATAGGAAAACCATGTCCTTTCTTGTCAGCATCCAGCAGGGTGCATCATACACTACTGTGTATGCTTTGATACATTTGGTGGTTTGGTATGGAAATGTAAGGGGCTAAGTAGCAAAGTAAAGATTAATATGAGTGGTCTATAAAAGAAGACACTGGACAGAATAGAAGCCTACAAATAAGCCAGGCACACGTTATCACAAGGTGTCAGGGCACTGTCCGTTCTTTGAATGTTGCTAGGATATTGCTAGATATCCACACAAGGAAAAGGAAAGAAAGTCACTCCCACTTCACTGCTGTAAAGTAAACTTCAGGCAGATGATGGAGAATAACTGGAAACTAAGCTAGAACTTGCAGGCTGCGAGGTGAAGTGTGTTTTCATAATCTTTCGGCTGAAGGGTTTTAGCTTACAGCAAACCGGAATTACTTTGTTATACCTCTTAAGTAAAATAACGATCATTTTATGATTGCTTATATGGGTACATTTAGAAATTTGTGCTCTTTGTACCACCATTACCTTATGATACAGGATGTTAAAAATTATTAATCTATAATAATCAAATGAAAATGTTAAAAACAAACACCTGAATACAACTGTGCAATAAAAGATCAGCAAATGACTCACTGGGTTTTGAAGTACAATAGGATGATCAGGCAGAAAGTCTGGTTTTTTTCTGCAGATGGAAACACTTGAAAGCTTCAACAAGAAATCTCTGCTGTATTTAATTCTCTCTGTAGACAGTAAGATTTAAACATAATTATAAAAATACTATCCTAGATAACTTTTTGATTCTACTTTGGAGGTCTTTAAATTGCCCACTGTTTTTTTGAATGGAGGGAAGCTCATCAAATCTTCCTTTCACATGGAAAGAAAGCCAAGAAATGAAAAAAGATCTGTATGAAAAAACGGGTAATACAGTGCTCACTCAGGTACAGCAAAACGACCTAACATTATAAACTACAACAGAAACAATACATATTGACTATGCCAACAGATATTAATACCTATTGTAATATTCAGACCATGACAAAATGGAACCACTGTGGGCCTATCTAATCTCAGTACTGTAATTTTAATATAATCAAATGAATTCCAAAATATTATATGCCTGTTGTTTATCAAGAACTACGCGAATTGACTGTAAGGAGTTCTGAAACGGGGTCCCTATCTTCAGGCAACCACCTATTCATATATCTGCCAATTTCTCATCAGAAATCATCCAGAAACTATCATCAATACTGACCATATGCTGATATTGATAGCAATGGCCATAGTATTCTAAAAGAACTAAAAGAAAGTAACTGACAAATTTCTTATCAGTGTAGGGAGAAAATCCCATGCGAATTCTACTTATACTCTCTCAAAGGAAAGCTAAAAAAAAAAAACACTATCAGACCTAATGAACAAGAAATTCTAAAAGGAGGTCATTCAAGTGAATGAAACTTTCCTCTTCAAAATCAAAGAGCAAAAGAAATGATAAGCTGGCCAGGAATCGCGACTTCCAGTCTTTCCTCTAAATTGTATTAAAACGTGTGTCACTGCTAAAAGCTAAAGTTCCAATGTGGTCTGGTGTGTTTCTAGGGTATAGATGTACAGAGTAGCCTGCAAATATGCCCAGAAATATATCATGACCATAGCCTTGAAATAGTACAATACTAGGAACCCTGGAAAACAGACTGCTTCAGTACTGAGGGGAACTGGGACCTCCAGTGGGACAAAGCCCAGGGCCCCGCCCCAACCCCCTCAGCTTTTCTAGCCACCCAGTAGGGAGTACTCCTTTCCCACTTGCCTAGCTTTAGAGTGAACCATGCTGTCACAGGAAAAATAGATAGATGAGAGAGAGAGAGAGAGAGAGAGAGAGAGAGAGAGAGAGAGAGAGAGAACAAGAAAAGCTATTAGCAAGATGAGCCCGTGCACAGAAGAGTGAGGGGCTGTTTAGAGGATAAAGAATGACTATGGAAATATAAAAAACACCAGTGGGCCAATGTTTTTAATAACAGACTCAAATAGTGGCTTTAGAAAAAGGAACAGAGAGAAAAATAAAGTAGAGAAAACTACCATCGAAATGCACAAATGCTTTCCACATGGAAGGCCCTACAGCTCCGTGCTGAGAAAGCTCAGTGTCATCTGATCTACAGCCTGTCTTTTCTAGTTGTTTCGTGGACATGAGAACTTGAAATAGCTCAGGCTTTGTGTCTTCCTTATTTAAAGCATGCATGTTTGAAAGCTCATTTCAGCTGAAATTTTCTGTCTGGCCAGACTATCAATCAAGTGTGAATGTGGAAGAAAGCCATTTTCAAACAGATAGACTTGAAAAAGTCACTGATTCAACATGCTTCCTCCTAAGTTTCTGAGCACAGAGAGGCACTGAGCGAGGACACTGTGACATCTGGAGGAGCCTGAGTGACATTGTGGGAAAAAGCCAAGTTGGGACCTGGAAACTTTTCCCCCATCAGAGTGACAAGCTGGTGAACAACTGGAAGAATCAACGTACTTTGAACTCTGTAATTTCATGCAAGCTTAATCTGTTTGACAAACACTCCCAAGACAAGAGCAAGCACCTGGAACAAGCATGTGCCTGTTCACTGATTAGAAGACATGATATTTCAACATGGTAATATTCCTCCCAAATGATCCATAGATTCAATGCCATAACTGTCAAAATTTTAATATTCTCTATTACATAAATGGAAAATCTGATCCTAAAAAATATGAAATTTTAATGAACCCCAAATATCTTAAACGATCTTGAAAAAGAATAGCATTAGAGAGTTTATGCTTCCAAATATCAAAACTTTCTACAATCTACAATTCTCAGTGTGATACCAGCATAAAGGGTTAGAACTCAGTGTTCATAAATACCAGTGTCCACATCACCTAACTCCCAAGAAATGTTCCAAAAACCTTCAATGAGGAAAAGGTGTCTTTCTTTAACAATAGCTGTTATGAATGTACAGAATGAAGCTGTACTATAAATTTAAAAATATATCCATAAATTAACTCAAAGTGCATCAAAAGACCAAAACTTATAAAAGTATGAAACCCTGAAGGGAACAAGAGCAAATACTCAGAAAAGCTGACACTCATTTTTACATCTAATCCTAAAATACAGCCACAAAAGGGAAACACAACATTCTAGAGTCATCCAATGCTGAGCACTGAAAGAATAAACTAGGAAAATATGTTCCAGCACTGGGGAAAACAATTGGAAATCAGATATCTAGTATCTGATAGGGGTCAAATATTCAAAATAAAAATGTGGGGGAAGGGGAGGAAGGAGACAGAGGGAGGGAAAGAGAATGAGTATGTAGTATGTATGTACGTATGATGTATGTATGTGTATATGTATATTACAAGTCAGTCAAACAACCCAATGAAAAATTTGATAAAATGTGCAACCTTCCATCTCACTGAAATCCTTATTCTTCTGGTGTCTGCACGAGAGCAGAGAAACCAGCACAGTGCCTGACACAAACAACAAGAGCTGCCCTTCCGTGAGTGCTGGGCTACGCTGATGACGCTGAGTACCTTTCTTAACTGGAGACTGGTGCTGCTGCTGCTCGTTCAGACCTTGAGAAAAGGCTTGCATTCCATTCGTCTTGCACTGTTGAGTAAGGAAACAAACTTTTAAACCTGGACCCGAAACATCCATGTAACTGTTTTTTACCACTGGGAAGTATGTTTGTAAGGTCTGAAATATTAATCAAGGAATACTTGGAGCTAACTAATAAACCCTGACTAGAAGTCTGCTTCTTAAAATGATCAGCAGAAAGCTGGTATTCTGCTGTATTATAGCCCAGCACTCAGGCAGCAGGGGTAGGGAGGGCTGTGAATTCAAGATCAGCCTGGGTTACACAGGGAGACAGCATTCCAAGTCAACCTCCTCCCTATGAGCTGTTGCATGGGGGCCGAGGGGGCAGAATTCCCCAAAACCAAATAGTTATTGCCATTGCCCTTGGTTACGCAACACGACTAGTAGGTAAGACTCTAATTCTGAAACCACACATTTGGTTGTAGGATACCAAGACATCAAACTGAAACTAACCTGAAAACTTCCTCCCTCTGGCTGGTTTTTATAGTGCCAAATGGTGCTATATAGGCCACCATAGAGCAAAGCATCAACGATCTTACCCATTGATAAACCCTGTAGGCTGTGCAATAGTACTTGCCACTCAAGGTGTGACCTGCAATGACTCAGTGCATGCATGCCACACAGCTAAGTAACCACATTCTATTGAGAATTCAAGCCCATTTCACAGAATGGAATTCCGGCCTGGTGCTGTAAATCTGGTCAAAAGCCCATGGCTTGTGAGGTAATATATTCTAAGAATGATTTACTACTGTTGCCTTGCCAAATGGATATGTCTACGTGCTTTCTAAATATGTATGCCTACACTCCATCCTTGGTCACAGAGGTGTTGCTTCCATCCTGGTGATACAATGAAAAACCCTGTGTGCTGTGTGATACTAACTTACCAATCAAGGTGTGACCAGTAGTGAAACAGAGACATATATGTCATGCAGTTAATTAGCCACATTCTGTTAGTATTGGGGGTAGTTAATTCAAAGGTTCACAATGGTCAAAGTGAATGTTGACTTCTCAGCCCTAAATGGAACACCAATATCTCTCTCACCCCTCTGCACTCAGGGACTAGCCCCAAAGTAGGGGTGAAAATATAAGGTAAAAAGGATTACTCTGAAATACTTTCTTCTGGATACGGCATGGACACTGTACACACGAACTCACAGAGGCTAAGGTAACCAGCCCGAGACCTGCGTACCACTGAGCCCTTCAACATTCTAGCATGGGTGGCAGAGGGGCATGAGATCAGATGAAAGATGAGGACAATTGGCATTAATAGCAGCTGGAAGAGGAGTTCTTTTCCTTCAGAGGTGCAGACACTGATGCGGTGTTCATGACCCACTAAGGAACCTCACATGCACACACATGAAAGCAACGCTCACTACACTCAGGGTGTTGTAAAACACACTTTGCACAAATAAATACATGTAAAAAGTGTATTTCTCTCACATCTAAAATTGTAGTAGATGGGTAACTTGAAAACTGCTAGTTCAAAGCAAGGCCTAACATCAAAGGTAAAGTTATACTTTTCATACCTTTTTATATTAAAATAACCATTATCTAAAATATTTCATACATGCAAAAATTACCCTGAGGAGTGAGGTGGGGTAAGGGAAATGTGGAGGGAGCAGGAGGAAGAGAGGGAATGGGAACTGGGATTGGTATGTAAAATGAGAAAAGATTGTTTTTAAATAAAAATAAAATGATAATGACAGAAAAATATGCTAAAAGTTTTGCAAAGTGATTATATGTTCTATGATGTTCTGTGACTTAACTGTCATAATCATACAAAGGTAAGTGTGATCGTCATGTTTACAGTCAGAGAACAGATGAGTTCTGTGAATAACCCAACTGTGCAGAGCAGAGCCGGCTGAGGCGCGTCTGAGCTTTGCTGCTGCTACACTAGCTATGAAGGGTGTGTACCTAGCAGAAAACCCTTCACCATACTGATGTCAACTCTTAATGAATAGGAACAAAATATGACAAACCTGTAATTTTTCAATAGTATTTTTGGTTTTCTTCTAACAAAGATACTAGCTGGTTAGCAGTGGCCCTAATGAACACGGCCACTTAAGGAACACAGGTACCCATAAAACAGGAGTCCTGTGGTGTGAATTGGAAATACAAAGAAAAACATATTTCTTCTTGGAAACTTGCAAATTCCCAAATATGAAGCAACTCTCATAGACCATATTCTTAAAATATTTGCTGTGTATATAAGAAAACCAAAACCCAAAATATATTTTAAAGGAACATTTTTTTAAAAGAGAGCAACGTAAGAGAAAATGGGCAATGATATGTATTGGTAATTCTCTCTATACATATAAAACCACAAACACATGAAAGATACCAATTCTCAAGCCACAGAGAACAAAAACTAAAAGCAACACAAGAATTTACAACCACTTACCAAGAAACTAATGTGACGCCTGATAATAACAAGGTAAAAGAAGGCCTTGGTGGGGCACAGAGTCCCATGCTCTACTCAGAGAGCTCATCTCAGTGCATAACCTGAGCAGCAACAGAGCTGAGGGGGAGAACATTGCTTTCGGCTTTGTTTTGATTTGTTTTTTGTTTTTTGTTTTATGGAAAGGGTTTCTTTCCATAGCCCTGGCTGTCCTGGAACTTGCTCTGTGGACCAGGCTGACCTCAAACACATAGAAATTTACCTGTCTCTGCCTCCCAGGTGCTGGGATTAAAGGTGTGCACCACCACCGCCTGTAAGAACATTGTTGTTCACAGCAGTTCCTGTCCTGGTGTCGTTTGTTTGTTGTTTTTTTTATCACAAAAAGCCTTTCCATCTTGAAAAAGTGAAAAATGCCCTGGACAGTCATGGCTGCATTGTTATAAAATTGGAATAAAATTGTATGAGGTATGTCACGACAACTGATGTGCTGTCTCCATCGGCACCCACAGGGCTGCTCCGTTTGTTAAGCAGTTGCCTCGTATTCCAGTCATGTTAATCCTTGTGTCTCACAGCTTGATTCTGGAAGATCTGACCAGAATATCTGCTTACATTACTAGGAAAGGGGCCAGCAGGGAAACGACTCAGGCCAGAAGGAAACCTTCACTAAGTATTTTTTAACATCAACATTAATGTGAAAGAAAATTTTAAAAATAAAGTAATTAAAATAATTCTATTATATCAAAAATTCAAAATACATTCAAGGAAAAAATAACAACCAGGATAGTTAGTTCTTGGAAGGGCAGCAAGAAAAGAGAAATAATTTCAGAAAGATATACACAGGTTTTGAATTGTCAGGCTTTTAACTTTAAATTTTTTAAACAAATATAGAAAAAAATTACACTTGAAAATGCTGAGTGAGAATACAGGTGTCATGCAGTCTTTACCTTAACATTTTAAAGAATAAAGCATACAGCCACTTAGCAATGTCATTTTACAGTCTATAATGTGTATATACATCTTACATAGAAATACACACAAGCAAACAGAAACCCTGGATAAGAATGCGCTGTGTGTGCCATTGAGCTACTCCCCAGCCCAATCTATTATTATGACTTACTCTGCCAACTCCACTTTGTAAGCACTGAGTGTTACATGGATATTCATTCTGAAAGTTAAAAGGGAACACTGGTCCTGTAAGAAGAGGGAAAAACTATTCTAAATATTCACATGTTCAATAAATGATATACCACAGTCTAAAAAGCAAGCATGTCTGTGACATCTTTGGCATTATTACAAAGCATTTGTGATAGTTCATTATCCAACAAATATTTACTCTACCCTCTGACACCATATGTTGTTAGGAGATGGGTAGGTAACGAGAATCGAGAAGATGTCACAGTCTAAAAACAAGCTCATAAGTCGTAGTATAATTTCATATACAGTAAACTACTCTCACTGTGAGCTTTAGAGAAATCATGGGGGTGCCATAGTTGATTGAAGATGCCAGGAAGGCTTCACAAAAGAAGTAATTTAATAATCATTTGAAGGAAAAGAAAATTCTTCTGAGGACCTTGAGCTGGCAAAAAATGGAAATGTGTTGAGAAAGCCCCAGACTGATTTTTATTTTAATTTGGCGTTCTAACAAGCCTCTACTTCACTGTATCTTAAATTATTATACTTCAGTAAGACCAGGATCACCCACATTCCTTCCACCTCCCTATGTCACGGCTGTAAAGGGAAGGCCTGCAGAATCGTAATGGGAAAGAGTGCTGGCAAAAGCCAATCACAGGGACAAGGTCAATGCATGCGAATCGAAGACCCAGACCTAAACACATACACCTATGGACATCTGATAGTTGACAAAGAAACCAAAATTATACAACGGTAAAAAGAAAACATCTTCAACAAGTAATGCTGGCATAGCTGAATGTTGGCATACAGAAGGATAAAAATAGATCCATATCTATCATCCTGCATAAAACTCAAGACCAAGTCTGTCAACAATCTCAACATAAATCCAGTTACACTGAACCTGATAAGACAGAAAGTGGGGAAACAGCCCTGACTGCATGGGCACAGGAGACAACTTCCTGAACACAACACCAGTGGCACAGATACTGAAAGCAACAACTGATAAACTGCACCTCATGAAACTGAAAAGTTTATGTAAGGCAAAGGACACAGTTAATAGGACAAAACAGCAGCCTACAGAATGGGAAAAGATGTGGGGGAAAAGCCCCACATCTAACAGAAGGATGATCTCCAAAATATATAAAGAATTCAAGAAACTAGACATCAAAAATAAAAAAACAAGAATATTTAAAAATGGAATGCTTATTCAAATGCCAGAAGAATCTCAAATAATGGATTAATCACTTAAAGAAATGTTTGACATCTTTTGCCATCAGGGAAATGTAAACCAAAACAACTGTAAGATTTCATCTTACACCTATCAGCATGGCTGAGATCAAAAATACAGGTAACATCTCATGGCGGAGAGGATTTGAAGCAAAGGGATCACTCCTCCATTGCTGGTGGGAGTGCAAACTTGTACAGTCACTTTGGAAATCAATATGGCAGCTCCTAAGAAAATTAGGAATCAATCTACCTCAAGACCCATCTATACCATACCTAAAGGATGGTCAATCATACCACAAGCACACTTGTTCATCTATGCTCATAGCAGCTTTATTTGTAATAGTCAGAACCTGAATCAATCAAAGAATTGACAAAGAAAATGGAGTGTTACTCAGCTGTTGAAAACAATGATATCAGGAAATCGGAAGACAAATGGATAGAACTAGAAAAAAATCATGCTGAGCCAGATAACTCAGACTAGAAAGACAAATGTACTCAATTATAAGTAATATATATTACTTATATATTATATATATTATAATACATACCATATTTATGTATCATATACAATGTATATTTATCACATATATATATGATTATATCATATAGCTGATATTAGCCTTAAAGTAAAAGATAACTATGCTAAAATCCACAGACCTGGAGAGAGGCTAGGTAATAAAGAATGGTCAAGGGGTAGGGGGGAACACATGGACTTCCCTGGGAAGGAGAAATTGAAGAAATCTCCTGGGTGGACTGGGCACAGGTGGGAACAGGAACTTGAAGGGTCAGGTTGACGGGTGGATGCGGGGGCAGAATACTAAAAGAGATGTCTTGATGGAAGGGGGGATATTGTGGGATCAAGTAGAAACTTGACGCAAGGGAAACTCCCAGGAATCTACAAAAATGACCCCAGCTAAGACTCCTAGCAATAATGGATACATAGCCTAAACTGGCCGTCTTCTATGACCAGGCTGGTCAGTACCCCAATAGTCATCAGAGAATTTTCATCCAGGAACTGGCGGAAACAGGTGTAGAGACCCACAGACAAGCATTAGGCCAAGCTTGGGGAATCCAGCAGAAGAGAGAGAGGAAGGATTATAGCAGCCAGAGGGGTTCAAGAACATCACAAGAAAACCCACAGCGACGAGTCTGGCTCATGGGAACTCACAGAGTCTGAACCAACAGTCAGGGAGCCTGCAAGAGAGAAATCTAAACCCTCTACCTGTATGTGACAGTTGTGTAGCTTGGTCTATCTGTAAGATCCCTAACAATGGGAGCATGGGGCTGTCCCTAACGTGTTGGCCGGCTGTTGGGAACCAGACCTCATACTGGGTTGCCTTACACAGCCTTAATACAAGTGCTTAGTTTTACTCCAACTTGATACACCATGCTTTGTTAACATCGATGGGAGGCCTGCTCCTTTCTGAACAGAAACAGAAGAGGATGGAGGAGGACGGGGCAGGGGACGGGAGAAGAGGCGGGAAGGGAAACTGCAGTTGGGATGTAAAATAAATAATAATAAAAAGCTGATCACAGAGAGGAAGAGCAGTCACTCACTCTCTGATGAACTGAACGTCTACTCTCTTCAACAGGTTCCAGCACAGAGAACACGGGACCCACACTCTGGTGCTACGTTCCAGGAGACCCTCTCAGTTACCTGTCTGTGCTAAGGCACTGCTCTCTTGAAAGGAAGCATGACTTAACCCAAAGATGGGAGCAGTCTGGTTGCATGTCTACATCTCCTGATTCACTTTTATATAAATAAAAGGGATATTCTTTCCTTTATTAAACAGTCCATGGAGTCAGTGGGACAAATTCAACTAAAGAAATGTTGGAGTGCTTGATACATGTGCCACTTAATTTAGACCACAGAAGTCAATCTAGCAGCAAGGAGTCACAGATTTCAAAGCTGTGTCCAAAGAAAATTTTTATGGACAGAAAGAAAAATATTTAAGATTGGGTGGGGGAGTTACCAAGGATTAACCAGGAAAGCACTCTATGAATGAGTTGTATCTCTAGCCAGTTTTGTATTTTTATTAAATGCAGTTATTTATTCCGTGTGTTCACGCACACACACATGCCATAGTTCACATGTATAGTCAGAACAACTTGCAGAAGCCACTTTTCCCTTCTGCCACGTTGGTCCCGAGACCAAAGCTGGGCGGTTGGGCTTGGGGGCAGCACCTCGACCTTTGCACCATTTGGCCAGTCCCATGTTTTTATTTTGAAATAGGTTATCACTATGCTGTCCAGTCAGACCTGTATTGTCTCTGTGGCCCAAATAAGCCTTGGCTTTGCTGTCTTATTGCCTTTACCACTCGGATAGTTGGAGTACATGCCTGAGCCACAAGGCCTGGCTTACTTTGACATCTTTGCTATTGTCTGACTTCTAAACTTAGATACGTGACAGCTCAAGCATGTCCCCAGTTCCTGTTGGCGTCACACGCACAGGGTAACTTCAGCCTCTTTACACTGTTTGCTACAATGGTCATTCTCTCTCATGTGTTTATAAAAGACATCCTACAACTTGACTACTCTGCACTGACAATCATCACAAGGACAAATAATATATATGGAGGGTGTCTTTCTGACCAGAGACCAATTAACTATACAATGAGGCATTTAAAAAACAAAAAAAAATAAACAAAAATAGAACAACTACTTTCGAGGAAATGGCATATTCTCCCTTCCCTGACTGATATGGAAGACTCAGAGAAGACTCAGGGCCAGTAGATCGTGGAAGTCTCTTTACCTTTAGATAGCATTTGTAAACTCTTCCAACAGAAGGGATCATTATTTTTATTACTTCATTTAAATTCACCTCAAGTAATTACTTTATAAATGAATTAATCTTCCAAGTACTAATTATCCATGAATAAATTAATACTTAAAAGAATTAAATACTCCATTACTTACCTGGAGGAGAAGAGAGATGACGAACAGGTCTTGCTGGTTGAAGCGGTTTGCCAATCAACTTTTTGGTTTCCATTGTCATAAAGACCTTGAGGTTCCATACTTTAATGGGGGAAAAACACATTTTCATCTTTTAGACAAAATAATAAAGACCATTTATACCCTTTCTATGCATGCAAACAACCACAATACTCATTTGAAAACATTAAAGTGAAGACGCACATGAAACCCATTTAAAATATTCAACAACTGGGTCTCTATTAGCCTTCACCACAGTTACACAATCCTTCTTTAAGATATTTCCCTCCTTCAGTTTATGTGGCTCATCATTGTGTATTGTTTCCTGTGTCTTTGGCTGCCTCTTCTAACTACATTAACTGATCCCTCTTCTGCTCTTCAGTTATAAATTTCAGGATGAATAATTTTAGCTTTGGTCCTTTCAGCTGGCACATCGATGTTCTTATCTACAGCACCCACATACACATGAAGATGTGATGGAATATGTGCTTAGCCTTGGTACTAACTGCTAGCCCCACTTTTCTTATTCTCTACTGTCATTTCCAGTTCTGTGTTATCATTGGGATGTCAAGTAAACATCTCAAAAATGGAATTAAGTGCTGTTATATCAAAAAATGTTCGTCCCCTGAATTCTTTAATTACCAACTCTCTGAGAACTCCCCTTTACTAACACACCTTTAATTCGGTGACTTTAGTCACCCTGGTTGCTGTCCATTTTTCTTCCAAAAGACACCCATGTGTTTTCATCAGCTGTCCCATTACTCTCTTAACTTCATAGCTCTGGCTATCCTTGAACTCACTCTCTCTCTCTCTCTCTCTCTCTCTCTCTCTCTCTCTCTCTCTCTCTGTGTGTGTGTGTGTGTGTGTGTGTGTGTGTGTGTGTGTGTGTGAACCAGGCTAACCTCAAATGGTCTCTGCTTTCTGAGTGCTGGGACTCAAAGGTGTGCACCACCACTATTCGGCCATAGAAGATCTTAATTTCTCTCTCTGACCACCTTTTAAACAGATGTAAATGATCCCTACATCTGACCTTGTAATGCAAAGAATATGTCCACATTGTGACATTTAGAGAACATTATACTTTTTTCTATACTAGATAAAAGTGGAAATCAGGTTCTTCTTAATGAAGACTCTTTATTCACCTGATATCTCCTGAAAAATATAAAATATGCATAAAGCAAGCCACTCCTTGAACAACTGGATAAATACTGTCATCTTTTGACCCCTGCTCCTTTTGTATACACCTAAACTTTAAACATGTGACTAGCAGTACAGGCCCACAAACTGTAACCACTACTGCTTGCATGGTAAGATAGGAGAATTGCAAGGCCAGCTGAAGCTACTTATTTATTTTTTTTTGTTTTATTTATATAAATAAAATTTATTTATTTTTGTCTGAAAAATAAAAACATTAGAAATACCTTGGAATATATCTCAAGGCAAGACATTGCCTACCATGTGCAAGGATCTAGATTAATTCCCCAACACTACCAAAACAAAACAAAAATACCGCCCACCAGTTCAAAATCTTCTGCACTAATCATAATAGAAGCAGGTTATACCCATGGCATAACAAATCACTTGTGTATGTATTATTATTATAAATAACTCTTTACCATTCATAGAACTCAGGTGCACCCTGCAATACCACCACTCAGAAACCTGAGGCAGGAGGATTGTAAGCTAGAGGTCACACTGGGTCACCTAGTTAAATCCAAAGCCATCTGGGGCTACTTGGCCATGTCTCAAAACTAATCAGTTTTATGTAAGCATGCTTGGGTTCATATCAGGCCTCCAACACCTACCTACATGACAGTGGATAAGTCATCTTACTCCCAGGGCTTGATGCAAACACAAAATCGTATAACTTACATAAACCGTTTAGGAACACTGCTGTTACACAAGTCAGTAGAAGTTAATGTGTGTTCTCCTTTTATAGTTCAGGTATAGAAAGATAATATTCACCCAAGGTCAGCTGACCAGGAAGTGATGGCTAGACTTTGCCCATGAAGGGGACAACCTTGTATCCCTCCCACACTTAGGCTAAACTGCTCCAGTTATTACTAAGAAGCCTTTTACTGTTTTTACAAAATACTTCTTCAACCTCTTCCAATCCAGTACTTATTACACACATTGCAATTACCTACTAATCAGTGTTTAAATTTGAAATTTCCACAGACATCGTCAATGTCTTTGATCATATCAACCCTCTACTCTCTTTCCACTCCCAGACCCCCACCAGCTACTAGATTCCAGTTCCCCTTTCAAAAGCACCTCTGCTGTGAGCAGCCCCTCTGTGACAGTGAATATCCATCAAGCTGTTGAATGAACAGCTACTGTTTCACATGAGAGAAATCCTGTTACGTCTCAGACTTTCCATACTACCCGCTACTCTTCAACCAAATGGTTATTCATCTTTCTGGACCAAAGGCAAGGTACTGCTATTTTCTTACAGAATATCTTGAAGTCTTAGCTCATAGCTTAAAGCAAAGCAGTTTTCATTCAGTAGTCAAAAGTAAAATCATAACAATCCCCTTTCCTTGCCTTCTCCATTGGTTTCCATTGATTTCATCTACACGTTTTTATAAAAATATAGCATGTAAATATATTATTGCATGCTTGTTTTGAATGTACCATTAATTGGCTGAGGTCACAGAAACTACAATTCAATAATCTTTTCATCCTATTATCTACAGCATAATTAGTTATAGTAAGTAGCCAAAAAGGCTTCCTCATTGCAACTGAATTCTCCTGACATCTTCATGGTGCACGACTCCTAAATCTGGTGTGCATTCCTTGCTTAGCTTTACACCAGTCACCAAAAGGTAACTATGATCATAAGTAAACGGTAAGCCCTACTTATATTTCCTCAGTAGAAGGTATGATTACCAGTCACTCTTTTGTTCTATATAAAACACTCTTTTCTCTTATATAAAATCTGGAGATACTTCAAAATTACAGTAATAAGTACACTTCCTCTGTGTTAGCCATGCTAACTCACCCTAGAGTTAATTTACCAGCACCCGTGTCGGTGACCGCTTGCTTCCTTATGTTAGCTGGTGCTGTCTTAACATAGCAAGTAGCTTTCTAAACAAGCCAACGCTACATTTGTTCATGACACAACACTGATTACACCAGGAAGCAAAAAAAAATCTCAACTATGTATTGACTGTTTTCTATTCGGAATATTTAAAACAAAGGTAAAAGGTCATCTAATGTCTAATGTGAATTATTAGCCATATTACTTGTTTCTTTACTTAATGCTTACCCTAACAATTTTTGATGACAACTCTAATACCACACAGCAACTGTCCTCCCTGTTTCCATATGAAACCAGCGAATCAGAACACAAAAGAATAGGCGACCTTGGCACCCAGCTCCTTGTTTTCCATAGCTCAGCTGAAACTGAGCTGTAGATTGGACAGTCTCCTCCAGCTGCTGAGCAAGGCAAATCCCCAGTATTCACACTGGGCAGTTTCAAGAGTTGGGAGTTACATTTGCAAAACAATAAACAGAAGACGAAAGTTCTTTTGGTGCCACCTACCTTCCAGTGGGCAGCAGAAGAGATGCCCAGGACTTCCCATATATAAGTCAAGAAATTAGAAAATGCAGCTGCCCACACACTTTTTAATGTTTTCTTTTGAAGCCAAACTCTGCTTGCACAGAAACCCTGACACAACAGCGGGCGAGTTAGAAATCAGGGTGCACAGTCCCCACCACCATCATTTATGAACTGAAGGATTGCGTCTTTACACAATAGCACACACCTGAGCTCCAGATGCTAATCAAGGGAGACCACCACAAACCATAATCCAAATCTCCATTTAGTTAAGAGTTTAGCTGAACTACTAAGTTGTTGTATTAAATAACCGCAGTTTTTTACGCCTGTTTCATCCGAGAGCCTGACCGCTTCCCTGGTGCTGCCGGTGCTGCCCAGAGCAGGCGTTTCTCATCAACTTTCACCAAGGACAGAAGTTGCAAAAGAAACAGCCTCACTGCTATCACTGAGGAGCACAGGGCAGGCCCATGGGAGAGCTCTCTCTTAAAACACAGACATGCAGTTTGTAACCTAGATCTTTGTGTTTTGTTTTGTTTTGTTTTGTTTTAAAAAAAAAAAAAAAGGTCACTTGGCATAATACCTAAAAATATTCATTCTATTAACACAGTCCTCAGAAAGTTTGCTAAACAAAGTTTCAAGTTTTGAAATGTATCATTCTGAAGGACAAGTGCCTGTGAGTGAAATTGGTGGGTTACTCTCAGGGCCTTCTGTCAGGAGCCTGGAGGGGCTATCCCACTACTCCACGTGTGCCGAGACTAACTACATCCTTGGTTTGTTTTGCGGAAGCTGTTCTCATTCTGAAATTACAAATTAACTAGAATTTTCTAAAATATAATAGGCACATAAACTGATAAATGTGGATGCAATGTGTATTGAGTATAGATTTTTAAATTAGAACACCATTTCTTCAGATGTTATGACGTCCTAAACACCTTGCAAATGTTACTTCATTTAACATTGAGCTATACACTAACTGTTGAAATGATTAGTCCCGCCTTACTAATCATGAGAAATCATGTTACTAAGGTGAGAAACATGAGGTTTAGAAACCCCATTTACATTATGGAAATTTGACTACAAAGTTCATCCGTCTCTAAACTTTCTTACTTGTTCAGACATCTGACTCCACTATTATAAGTATTCTATGTGTTGATGAAAACCTTAATTAACGGGAGAAGGCACATTTATGTATAATGCCTTGGTGAATAAATTGTATACACTAACTTTCCATTTCCTCAATTTACAATTTTTCTCTTAGAATATTTAATGATAACATGTTTCTTCATAGTAATAATAATTCAGTATTTAAGATATATAGGGCTCGGTAGGTAGCGTCATCACGTAGGAAACACTGGGTTTGGTTCCCAGCCCTGCATAAAACCGTGTATGATGGCTCACACCTGTAATCCCAGCACTGGTGGTCAGGTATTTGAACCCATCCTCGGCTTCTAAGTGAATTAGAAGTCAGCCGGGGCTAGACAAGCTAAGTACTAAAATGAAAATCTCCCTTTTAAATTCTGGGCTTCTTGGGGCTAAGGATGTAACCCAGTGGAAAAGCGCTGCCCTAGGATGAGTGAGGTCTTGGGTTCTATTCTCAGCACGGACAAAATACAGATGCAGAGTTCTAGTATAATTTTAAAAACATCACTTTTATTTACTTTCCGTATACTTCCCACGTGAAAACTCGTTAATATTTAAACTCAGTTTCCTGCTTCAAAATTCTACACTTCAAAGTATTCCTTAAAACCAAGCGCTGCTTGTTAAGAAGACAACCAGTCCTGATAAATATAATAAACGAAAAGTAACAAAATAAATACGAACGGGAGATAGAGTCTATTACTAGGTAGTCAAAAGAATTTCACATTCCACACATCTACTTGGCCTATTCTGTTTTTCAAAACTCAAAACGTATCCAACAGCGTCAACACTTAGCATCATATTTTTCTCACCTTCTCTAAAAATCCCGGGGAGGGGGGGTGTCTAGAAAGGATACTTTTTAAGTTTTGTCCGTTTTAGCATCTTTCGATAAAAGAACAGTTTAAGGATTCGCTGAGACAAGCTGCCCAGGCAACAGGTGGGTGGCCAGCAGTCTGAACCTTCTCCCTCGATGACCCCAGCGGGTGAGCGGACGAGCGGGGAGCGCGGAGCCCCAGGGGTTTCGGTGCCTTCGCTCGCCCTGCCCGCTCTCTCCGCGGTGCCCGCCGCCCTCCCGGCGCCGGCCGCCCCTCACCTACCGCCTCAAGACCCGGGAGGGTTTCCGGCGCGGCGTCGCGGCGCTCAGCCCAGAC